AGGAAACTGAGGTTCTGGGAGGTTAAACAACTTGTTAAACTCAGTTCTGTCCTAATTCTATGCTACTTTCACTATACCAGGCAGGAAAGTTTACTTAATAACTGTGATTTGGGCAAGTAATTTAATCTATTTAAGCCTCATTTTCTATACATGTATAGTTAAAGAATGGAAGCCCAAGGTCTTTTCACAGCTAAAATTCTACAATTTTATGAAAACAAATCACAATAACATCAATCCCTTCCACTTCCAAAACCCCACCTCAACCGTACATGAACCCCTTTTATACTGAGGGAATGATAAACCCAACCCCTTATAATAGGATGCATTTTATACCTTGGCTGTGGTCTTAATATCCGTGATATTTACAAACCACTGTTTGCTGGCTCGAATAACCACTGGTTTCTTAGTCCTCCAGTCATAGGGATAGCTGTGTACCAATTTTTCCACTTTTAACAAATTCTTTGCAGTCTGAAGCATCTTTATAACTTTAAAAAAGTTGACATTAGACATAATTAATAAGTACTATGAAAATCCTAATAACACTCTAACTTCCCAGAGAATACTAAATCTGGACCAATAGGTGCCAGTAAGCATAGCCACCTTCCAGATATCAAAGGCATAACCTGGGTATCTCTTGGCAAAAAAAAGCAGGGAATGTAAAACCTTAATCAGACTCCAAATGCTCTTCTCAAAGCTCTTTANTTAAAATCAATTCTAACTTGATTTCAAACCTTTTTTGAAATGCTACTATCCTAGGTTGACAAGCAAGGATTGCAAAAGAAACCTGATTTTACAGAGTATGGTTTACAATACAGAAAACATTTTCTCAAAATAACAGTAATTTCCTATTTGCTTACCATCTCTCAAGAACTCCTCTTTCCTCCACCCACCCCCCAAAAAGTTGTAAATTACTAGCATTTGATTTCGTTTCACTTCTCAGTTATCAAAAGATGAATTGTATAGCGCAGATGTTTGATAATAATCTTCCAAAAAGCTAAAATATGTTAACCTGATTTTTAAAAATCTGTCTGTCCATTAATAAAGGCATTTTTTCTATTTTCAGAGCAGGTTTAAACGGCTCCCTCACTTACCTTAACTACCAGACATCCCCTCACTGAAAACACTTTGTAGCACCACCTACTGGCAGAATAGCAACATCTCTGAAATTCAGTTTAATACTTGGTTTGAAAAAATCTAAGAAATGGTCCCAGAAGCACGGAACAAAGCAACGCCTGCTATCCTAGGCAGGAGCCGCAGGCAGCCCCCTCCACCCAGAAGCAGGCAAGAGAGCAACACCTGGAGTCCTAGGTAGGAGCCAAGGACGGCAGCCCCCTCTACTCGGAAGCAGGCAAGGAGCACGCCAAAACCACCACTTCCATTTCGATGGTCCACCACAGCCACTGCCACGGCTGCCAAAAAAGGGCTTGACTCCACAGCAGCAGCCACAGCCACTGTGCAGACAGCCCACCAGATACTCAACTGTATTGACATTGTTGATTTTTCTCTACTACTTTTTAATTTCCTATTTCATATATTTCTGTTGTAATCTTTGTTATTTCCTACTTATACTTGCTTTTGGTTTAGTNTAGTGAATGGATTAAAAACGGTGGTCAGGGGCATGGTTCTGAGGGCTTTAAAAGAAGAGGAAAGTCTGCCTTTTGCTCTCTCTCTGCTTCCACACCATCTTGCAATGTGAGACACCTGGGTCACTGTCACCACCACCAGATGGACTTTCGACTTCCCAGCCTCAGAAACTATAAGCAATATATGTTGTTTTTCTTTATAAATCACCCAGTCTCAGGTATTCTGTTATAAAAACACAAAATGGACTAATATAGTAATTGGAAGGTGGAGCCTTGAAGAGGTGATTGGATTGCAAGACCGTGCAGTAGGAAATAGATTAATAACAGTAGTCTGGGGCGTGGTTCTGAGGGCTTTAAAAAGAGAGTGAATGAGGAGGTTACTCTCTGCTGTCTCTGCTCTGCCATTTCACAATGTGACACCCTGCCATCACTGAAGTCACCACAAAAGAAAGCCTTCGCCAGATGTGTTCCCTGGATTTTGTACTTCCTAGCCTCTGAAACTGTAAGCAATAATTTTGTTTCTTTTATAAATTACCCAGTTCTGTGTATTTTACTATAAGCAACAGAAACAGACAAATACAAGAGTCATAATCTTCCATACAATGAGTATTAAAATGGTCTCCAGCAGAAACCAGGTGTGGTGGGTTAAACTGTGTCTCCCAAAAAGACCCTATGCCACAGTACCTGTGAATGTAACCTTATTTGAAAA